GGATCACTGCCGGGAAAAATAGCACAAATTAGAACCCGCAAAAATTTTGTGCCACACGGAAAACCGTGCATAGCATGACAAGTTTAGTGCAGGAGGTGCAGTCGCTTCTAGTTGTAAAAAGTTGTTTAATATCTTCTACTGATACATAACTCATGCCTGAGTTCAAGATAACCATTTCTAAGAAGATTAAGTAACTTCCATCCAACTGGAACTTGTTTTTTCCGCAATACAGAAAAACTGGTGTGGCCGCGTAAAGTAGCGGATTCCTTATTCATTGTGTTTGGCTTTGAAAGTTTTTTTTCTTTTTCATGTATACTTAACAGATGTAATAGATGTTTTTAAGTGGATGTGATCCTGGCAGTCAAATGAACAACCTAAGCTGTTGAAAAAAAAGAACCTGAAAAAATTCGAGCTTGACCGGGAATCGAACCCAGGCCTTTGCAATGACAACATGCAGTCAGCGATTGTGGCTTGAATTTTCTTTTTTCCATTATTGGTCATTTTGCCGTTGAATGCTTCGGCTTTTAAAATTCTTTGGTCATATTTCACGTTACCTCGTTTTTAATAGTCGCTTCTTTTCGATAGGAACTCCGCTTGTAGGCCTATTAAAACATTATAATAATATACTATATGACTTCTCTCATCGCTCTCTGCACAGGATGGGAGCACACATGATAACTGACACCGCCCAAGAACACCAGGTCGAAAAGATCATCATGCACGAAAGCTACAATAGTCCTCTAGGACTAGCACACGACATTGCACTACTGAAACTGACGACAGCAGTAACAATGGGAAATTCGGTGGGAACAGTCTGCCTCCCAGATATCAATCAACCACTTCTGTCAGGCAAGCAATGCTATATCACAGGCTGGGGTACGTTAACGTCCGGAGGAAACCAACCTGACCAGCTCATGGAAGCATCGGTACCGATTGTTTCCCAGGCTAGCTGTTCGAATGCCTACCCAGGTCAAATTCATGATTCTATGATATGCGCTGGTTTAGACGCTGGTGGAGTGGACGCGTGTCAGGGAGACAGTGGAGGACCCATGGTCTGCGAGTTCAATGGCAAGTGGTACCTTGAGGGTGCTACAAGCTGGGGTTATGGATGCGCTGTGGCAGGAAAATATGGCGTCTATGCCAAAGTGCGATATCTTAAAACCTGGGTCGAAAATAAGATGAGCAGCGAATAAAAAAACGATTGCTTTCCATGATGAGATCACCTAGAAGGTAGCGAGAAAAAAGAAGTGTATGATTGATAGAGAAAATAAAGAGAAACTAGCATTATTTCTGCGTGTGATACGTACATAACATGTGTAAACCAGGGAGGAACATTCCACAAAATTTTTGACGTGGAGACTGATAAGAAAAAGCCTTTACAAGAGCTGAACAAAATTAGCACCCGTCTAGTGTAAAAATTTTCAAGTAACCCTTTTCTGAGTCCTCTGGGATTTTAGTTAAAGCTAAGCTAAGAGAGACCAAAGTTTGACATTTAAACCCCAAAGGGGAAGGACGAGCAACCCCATGTTCTTAATATAGGGGTCTCCTGGCTACTTATGCGTAGCATTATTGTGGCAGGCGTCGAAAGGGGTGGGGGAGGGAGGGGGAAAGAAAGGAGGATCGGGACTCTGATCCCATTCTAACGCCTGTAAGCAGGCTATCCCGTATCCGGCCAGAAAATGTCGACCGATTTACATGATTGAAAGGGAGTTAAAAAGCTAAAACCCAAAGGAGCAACTCTCACACTTCTATTAAATATCACGTCACGGCGTTTCTACAAACCAGTTCATTTTTAGTCACGATGACATTACCTTTTTCGCGAAAAAAACATCCCCTTTGTATTTGATTGTATTTGTCATGGTCCATCAATTTTGAAAATTGTAGATGCCACAAATGTTGACCGCTCATCTGCAGTGTAATATATTAGGTTCCCGGGTCCTTGAATTTTACACATTCGCGTTGCATCAAAGATGGAGGACTATCACATGGTTCGTTTTCGCGCTGTAGTTTTATAACCTGAATGATAACTTCACACTCTAGGCTTCCAATTCAAAAACGCAGCCTGTTTAACATGCCAGATAGAGAAATTTTGTACCGGAAACCTTGTTCAAGATGCTAAATAGTGAAATCGCATCTCCTGTTTAAAGGGGCTGTGTCACGGCAGTCCAGTTCATTTTGTTCAATTTTGGCAATTACTCGCCCTCAATCACTATGGAACTTAAAGTAAGCAAAGCAAATTACATGGAAATGACAAAATCAGAGATTCGAGACAAACAAATATGTCTCCTGAGCATTATTTTTGAAGTTGCATACAGCAGAGATCAACTTTGAAAAACTGTTAGGCTGAACAGTTTTCAAAAACCCTAATTTCAATCCGTTTCAATCTTCTTCAGTTTTGCCCATCTGTGGCATCTGTTGTGTTATTTTTACGCTCCTTTAATGTTTTAAACGGTTATTTTTACGTTTCTCTTAATTTAACGGGATTTTGTAATTACTCAATTTGGCTGAATTTCGTGACACAGCTCCTTTAAGCCCCCCCGGGGGGGGACTCCCCATATTAAAGGGGTGGGGATGCTCGTTGGAAATTTTGAATTAAACCCCTAAAGGAGACCGATTTGGGCGTGGCCCAAGCTTTTTTTGACCCCTAAAAGAGACCAAAAAAATATACATATCAAATATATATTGTTGTATTTTTTCGCGTGCAACTCTAAACGAGACCTTCACGGCTAAATATGATGCCCAAAATACCCTAAGTGAGACCAAAATCCGAAATTTACACCCCTAAGCGAGACGACGAGCATCCCACCCCTGCTTTAAGCCTCAATACCCTGAAAACCATATATACCCCGGAAAGGTCAATCGATAAAAATCTATATCGATTTGTTAATCGATAAATCGATAAAAATCGATAAATGTGATTTGACTGATGTCGATTGTATCGATCAATAGACCATTTTACAGTTGTGGACTTAGTGCCCTAGCCTTCGAGTGAATGTGAGGCTGACGGTGACCTTGTTTTAATACAAACCTCCTTTGCTTTGTTATTGAAATTGCCCTAGAAAAATACTAGTTAGCATAAGAATAACTTGATTTACACAATAAAGCAGGAAGGTTTGTATCAAAACAAGGTCACCGTCAGCCTCGCTTCCATCCATAACTGTAAATTGGCCTATTGGTAGAAATCAATGGCACACTCGTTTTTTATCGATTTATCTTGATTTTTACCGATTTCATCGATTTCATATCGGAAGATACATCTCTTCATCTGTTTATCAAAAAGTGAAAACTGACCTCATGCAAACAGTAAATTTATTGAGAATTGAGTTGAAATTGAGAGTCGAAGGATCAAACATTTATCACTTGTTTATCAAACATTTATCACTTTTACATAAATCTTTAAAAAAAATCTTCTCTTTTCTTTAAAACCAGGTTTAAAATCTTCTTCTGTTGACTGATATTGGCCAGGTTTATAGACGGTGAGGATTTAGATCTCCCACCCTTTCAAAATAACGTCGGTGTAGTTCGGGTCGATCGAGGTGTCTCTCGGAGTAGTCAATAGATAAAAATCCTAATCGATAAAAAATCGTCAGCAATCAAGTGATTTTTATCGATTGATAACGGAAAACGGTGAAATCTATGAAGGGATTAGCCTGAATCCCAACTCGAAGGAATGTCTGAAATTTAGACTAGGAAATCTTTATCTAACGGTTGTATTCCTCGTGATACTTGCTTGCGAGAGAGAACTGGATGTAACTGAACTGTTTCAGTTAGTGCAAAACAAAGCGTTTTAGAACAAACATTTCCGTGTGTAATAGTTACCATATTTCTCTTTTTCATGTTTGCTGATCAGTTGTTACTCGTGAATGTGTTTTCTCAGCTGTACTATCCACTGTACTATATAACTCATGCATGCCAATATACAACAATTGCGGACTTCCGTTATAAATCGTTAAAATCGTGAAAAATCGATAATATCTATTTGACACAGCGGTAGGCGATTTTCATCGATTTCCCTTATCAATCGATAAAAATCCCTTGATTGCTATCGATTTTTATCGATTGACTACTCCGGGTATATACCCTGTTCAGTTGCACGTATCCGTCTAGGCCACCTCCCCTGGTCAAAGTAGTGTTGAAGGTGTTTAGATGCGCTGTACTGACAGCAGCGCAACAAGACATTACAGGCCAACACTGCAGCTGCAGCGTAACTGGGCGGCGGCAGTGAACACTCCGTTGGTACCCACTGTCAGAGAGTGTCCATTTTTCGTGACGCCAAACAAAGTCGCTGAAAGAATTCTAAAAGAAAAGTTTGATGGTTGACCAAAGCCGTGTGTTTTTCTTGTATACGACTCCTTTATTTCTATGGCGAGAAAGAAGAGAATTGTTGCGATGTCGTAAGTGAAGAAAGTTTTGCGAAACGGAAAAAAGAAAAAGTTTTTTAAATTTATTTGGAAAGGACAAGGAAAGTGGGATGGGGTTTCTTTCGGATACCACGAAGTCTGCACGGTTAAGTGTGTTGTTTCAATACTAGAAAGTAAAGGGGGCGTTTTTTTTTCGATAGCAAAAAAGCACAAGATTAGTTTCGTCATTACAAAACAATAGGAGCTGATTTGTAGTGATTTTACTTAGCCCGTAAAATAGGAAATAACTACTGACTACGCAGTATTATCCACTAATTCCATTGTCTTCTTTTGTTTACTTGTAGCAATTTGGCATTCATTGTAGGTATTTGTTTCACGGGTTAAGTAAAATTACTCTAACAAACTTAAGTAAGCAATCTTCAGAGGCAAAATATAAAGATGATATCAATTTATTTGACTTTCAATTCGTTATAAATAGATCTCATCTTTGATGATCTCTGTAATTTACTGCCGGTTTAAATAAACTGTTTAGCAAATCTCTCACATGGTAAATTAACCTTTTTACTTGTATTCTTACAAAATGAATTCCAAAGCCTCTATCTTACAAAACGCAACTTTTATATAAATGTGAAATTTACACCTGGTGCTGCGCATAGGAGTAATAACTATTATCGACAAGCCTAGCAAACCACAAGTGCCAGACTTGAATCTGTTTTTCGTACCTAGGCGAGAGGTAGTCAATTTAAGTTTGGTTAGAAGGGTATAGTCAGTAAATGGTCAGCGACTTAAATCGACGACAACGGTATTCCCGGCCCAAGCTATGGTTGATATTAAGTACAGGCTGAAAACCAAACCTTTGCGGGTTGCGCAACTCTCTAGAAGCCATATCTAGGGTTACCCTCTGATTGGTAAATCTTACTGTAGCATGCATAGGCCATTACTAGTGAATTAGATAGCTCGATCACAAATTCCCCCCTCGGATTATCGATGACTGCTGGTACTATTTACACATGCGTGAATTGATAAGCGTGTTGAGAAGTTCCTTGAAACAGGCCCAGTTCCGGTTGCATAAAGCAGTGAAGTGCGATTTTCTGTGACAACTCTCTTTGTTTTCCAGGATTTCCTTGCACAGTAATACGGATAACTAGGCCGACGGCGGATTAACGAGAGTACAGATCAAACCCTTATGAGAAGTATGATCCAGAAAGGGACAAGAAACCACTTATCTTACAGTTTCAGATTTGCTGTCCTGTTTAGGATTTTGCAAGTTTTGGATACAGGTGTAAATGTAGAAAACTTGGCACCTGATCGTTGCTTTAGGAAACCGGGTCAGCGCTCGAAAAAACAACAGGGGAGTTAAAAGTCTAGTGTGCCACTCCACTAGACTAACATTCCGTCTCAAAACATAACAATGTTCTTATTTATTAAATTACAAATGTCTTAATACCTAAACATCTTACTTTAATTTAGAAACTTAACGTCCATAATAAAATATCAAACTTCTAATTAAATTAACACTAACGTCCTTTAAATAACGTTCATTTTTCTATTTGATATGATGAATCAAACGTTTGTATTTTTCGCGTCTGGATCATAAAGTAATTTGTCCATCTCTCCTAACGGGATACAACAGCACTCAGAGCTACTATGTGAAGAGCACTCAGACGCCGCTTTTCCGCTCTCAACTTGAAGTTCTTCAACTGCAGCGTTCCTCGGTTCGTAGTTTCGCATGTGGGTTTCCATTTGGTAGGCAGCAAATGGATATAGGCAAGACACAGCAAAGAAATCCTCCACCATGTTTCCATTGATGCCGTGTTTCTCGCGGATGGAGTTACGTACACTTGTGGCATAGGCAAAGAAACCAAACAGGACGGACAGTCCAACGTATTTCAAATTAGGCTGAAAAAATCCCATGGCAAACAGAGCCTTCGCCCCATAAAAAGGTACTGCGAGAATCAGCATATGGATCCATGTCCGTCTGTTTCCTTTGTCCACCTCTCCAGCCGCTACGCCCATAAAGTACCATGGAGCCACAACACTCAGGGAAACTTTCGAAACACTCTCTATTGTTGGTGTGCTTAGCACATCAAGGAGGCCAGTGGTGAACTGTGGGCCGCGTATGTCAAGGTCTCCGGCTTCGATCTTGACAGCTCTCCACAGCGCTACACACATAAAACACAATATGATCGTGTAGGGAACGCCAGATGCTATTGAGACTGTCTGCAGGGCTATCAGTGCGTCTTTGCCTCCAGCGTACAGGAGAGCGGTAGCTGTCGCACCTTCTGTGAGTGCCCAGAAAATGCGTTGTAGGACGGGCGGCTCGGGATCACCATTGGCAGAGAGGCAGTCTATCACAAGGGACCCACTGTCAGAGCTGGTGACGAAATAAAGGACTATGCTTACCAGGGAGAGAACGGAAAGGACAGTGCCTAGGCCTACGTATGACTCCATCACGTCAAACCACATGTCTGTCTTGCCACGACAGGACAGTCGGTACAAACCTTCGAAAGACTCTTTTGCTTCACCTCCACCTAACACTGAAGAGCAAGTTATGTTAGCAAGCTCTGCATTTCGTTCCATTCTCAGGCCCACTCCTCCAAAAATGCTGAACCACAGGATTGAAAATCCCACTGGTGCTGTCAAGGTGGCGTTGATAAACTGTCTGATGGTTCTTCCTCTTGAGATCTTTGCAATGAACATGCCAACGAACGGAGACCAGGCGATCCACCAGCCCCAGTAAAAAATGGTCCAGTCGTCCATCCAGTTAGGTGCTTCCTTACCATCTGGAGCATTTCCCAATTGCGCAAAAGCATCAGTGTGGAAACCAAGTTGTATGACCGTCTGCAAGTAATAGCCAGTGCTCTGAACAAGCACATTCAGGGAGTGCCAGGGATCATCCAGGAAAAACACCATCAACATGATAAAGAGACCCAGGGTGAAACAGATCTCACTTAAACGTCGGATCCCAACCTTCAAGCCGCTCACTACAGAAACAGTTGCGCAGGCTGTTACACACCAGATGATGATAATCTGGTTGGTGGTGCTGATCTCAAAGCTGTCATTTAAGCGATGAACGCCAGCGTTCAGTTGCATGACTCCGATACCCAGGCTGGTACAAACGCCAAACATGGTGCAGACTACCGATACAGTGTCGGTCATATCACCCATCCATCCGTAAATCTTATCGCCAATCAAAGGGTACAAGCAGGATCTCATGGTCATGGGAAGTCCCTGTCTGTAACCAACAAAGGCCAGGAGAAGACCAACCACAACGTATACAATCCATCCGTGGATACCCCAGTGAAACAAGGTCAGGTTGATAGAGTCTTGGGCGCGTTGGTTATCGGTATACCTATATAAAGAAAGAGAGATGTGAGTACATAAGCTATCAGAAGTTCATAGAACTATGTGGCATGTTCAAAATTACTTTTTTCAGTATTGGAGCATGACCAATGAGAAAACTAATTTTATTTATTTGGTCTCTGCAGCCCCTTCTCACTTAAAGTTGTAGAATAAAACAGGTGTAGCAAAACCAAGTTTGATAAAAAGAAAAACTGATTGCTTGTATTTTATAGACAGGGACTTCTATGTTAAGGTTTTGTCCTCATAACTTGAAGTTTGGCTCTATCTGTGCACAACTTCAAACTGTGTTTACCTAAACAGATTTAAAACAGTTTTGCATGGTGTAAATGGGACAAATAAGAAATATAACAAGCCAGTACCACTGTTTATAGTGTAGCCTAAGAATTTGAAGACCACAACCCCAGAAAATCATAGGTAAGCTAGTAGAAAAACTCTGAATATCTTAGACAATTCAAATGGAATTTCATGGTTGTCCAGGAATTTTTAGCTTTTCTTGAGCTTTAAAAATTTCTAGGAAATATGTGTATTTGCAGCCTGAATTTCAGACAATTACTTTGAGTTGTTTTTAACAAATAGTAATAATTTATATAGCGCTACTCTTTCATAGCTTTCTTTTACTCCCTCAGTAACGACTCAAATTTATCATCTGAACTTAAGACTAATGTCTAAGGGGGGGTACTCCTCTATAAAAGTGACGGGGGTGCTCGTCATACCTTTTAGGGGTTTAAATTTGTGAATCGGTACCGCTTGTAATTAGGGTGCTAAACTAAAATGACTGCTGAAATGCTTTATTAGGATAAAGATTCATGACAATCCTTTCAAAAAGTCCTTGAGAAGCAAGTGCTCAAAAGTTATCTTTATTACCGGGGCCTAGCCGAAGGCTGGCACCGGTCATAAAATGCAACGCGTTTCTGTGTTTTCAAAGTTACATTGTTAGGGATATATCGCTGACTGAGATATATCGCTGGCTCGTTACTTTTGGGAGTGTTCGCTGAGATATATCGCTGGTTCAGAAATTTGAAGTAACGAGCAACAACTGTAACCATGTAAATATTAATTCGATTAGTTTGCACACGGAATGGTTTAATGCGACTATATTTACCACTTATCAATAAATGAGATCCCTGTCTATTGCAAAATATTGTTACAGTATTCATCCTTGCAATGACAAAGCTTGGTCGACGTAGAACTGTGTACACTACGATAAAGCAAAAATCTTAACTTATTAAACTTGCATGCACCAAGCTTTGTTTATGCGTTTGAATACCTTACAATTCGCACTCCCAACAGGAAACTTCGTCAAATATTTTCCGACAAACAATTTAAACTCATTAGGAGGAAGTCTATCACTACTTTGACTTATGAAGCAACAAAACAAAATATTTTCAAATAACCCTTGTCACGCAATATTTACGTTGGCGAGATGCGCAAATTCTCAACTGTTCAAAATGCGGGATTCCCTAACATTTTGTCTTTTCACATTATTCATTACACGTTGATGTAGAATTTTTATGTTTTTCTCCTTGGTATTCTTAGCTACTCTGGATTCTTGTTGCTAAGAAATATCTTATTATTATGTAATCGATCTGAACACGTGAGAAAAACTGCGTAACTTGACAGCCTAGGATTGGGAGTTGACTGGACATAATTGTTTACCTTTGTGATTTAGAAGTATATTGAAATAATTCAGAGATAATTAGTTATTCATTAAATAGGCTTAGGGCCGAATATAAATTCGATTAGTCTTGGAACGGAATGATTAATGCGACTATTTTTGCTACTTATCAATAAATGAGATCCCTGTGTATTGAAAAATATTGTTACAGTATTCATCCCAACAATGACAAAGCTTACACACGACAAAACAAAAATCTTAACTTATTAAACTTGCTTGCGCGAAACTTTGTTTGTGCGTTTCAATACCTTACAATTCGCACTCGCTACAGGAAACTTCGTCAAATATTGGCCGACAAATAATTAAGACTCATTACAAGAAAGTCTATCACTGCTTTAACTAATGAAAAACCAAAAAAAAGACTGTTTCACATAACCTTTGTCATGCAATATTTACGTTAGCGACATGGGAAAACTCTCAACTGTTCAAAATGGGGGATTCCCTAACATTTTCTCTTTTCACATTATTCATCACACCTTGTTTTCATCTCTAAAGAATATTTGCAAGAAAAAAGATTTTCATGTCGCCCGACAAACTTGTTGATGAAAAAGACCCTTCCACGTGGGTTGCCAAGACAAAAGTGGCCCCGGTAAAATTTACGAAGTGATTCTTGTTACTATTAAAATTTGCAGTGCCAGTTATATAATTTGTTGTTGTTGAATTGGTACCTCTTAGAGGTGGAAATGAATTTGGGACATGCTCATATAACAAAATTCTGGTACCTTTTACCTTTTTTCCGATGAGCACCCCCGTCACTTTTACATGGAAGTAACCCGCCGGGGTACTTGTTCCTTCAAACAGTTGTTTTAAGGAAAAAAGTTGTTGGGTGCCCCGGCCATAGCTTTTATTACTGTGTAGAATTTTCTTATAAAAGTACAGCGACCCATCTCCTCAAACTTTTGATAGGACCCATCAGTTACCCTTAAGATACCAAACAGATAATTTAGGTTCAAGGGCAGCACCAAATATTAAGAAAACAGCACTCTAAATAGCAGAGAAAAGCATTTGAAACACTTTGACATATTTGAAATCATAACTTTGGTCGTCTGGTGCACCTGATAAAGTTGGACAAGCACGATACATTATATAATGAGAATATTTAACACTAAACATAACACATGAAGATGTGAATTGAAGAAGATGCACACCTTTGTCCCTTTCTTAAAATCTGAAGAAAAGCTTGGGGACTTTAAAGTATCAAGTTTAATTGAGCTGGGCGTTATCATCACGTACCTGTCAAAAAATCGGTTTCCATAGTGACCAGGAGCATAATGCCACACAGGTTCAGCTGCAAGGAATTACAGAGTTAATCATTAGCTGGATTTTTTACTCACATGACTTCACACGACATCAAAGATTTGTACCTTGTACTCTCAGTAGTGAAATTATTATACAAATATTTCCTTAATAATATACATAAGTAGAACTGGTATTGCTTTGAATTTTAATTCTGATCAAAAAATGCTAAAACTGACACAAATACATGTATGTCACAAGAATAGGACATACAGGTTCTATATTTATAACAAATAATATCATGGTCAGGTGGAATTATGACAACTATTGTAGATGTTCCCAGCCAAAAAAAAACCATTGAATCATCCAATGATATTTCAAATCAATAAGATGAATTTGACCAGTATCAAAGAATATTTGACTGACAAAAAGGTTTCAGTTTTTTAAACTTAGCTTAACCACTGTGGTTTAGACTACGACTTCTTTTTCAAATTTTTGGACAAGCAGAAAAAACAGCATTTCTGATGTAGTTAGGCTCCAGCATACATGAACTATAAACCTATTGTAGTTAAAAAAGGTAAGCAAGGAAATATGCAATATGATGAACCCTCTCAGCATGTCTGTAACACAATATTGTATCAAGTTTGTCAATCATTTTTTTAAAACAGAAATTTCATGGGAACTGATTATTCTATTATACCAAGTTTAGGACTGCAGGAAACTGCTGCTGAGGCCTAATTTGTAGTTACCTCAAGTTGCAGTCGATAATTTGACAGCAGCTTGTGCAAATATCTTATGCAAATAATGCAGACATACACAATGGAACTCCTGAATACCACGAAAATTTTTGTCCGCAAGTTAAAAATGGTTGTGGTTGTTAAAACCTTTTAAAAGCGGTGTAGAAAAACGAAAGCAAAGGCGGCGACAAAAAATAACAAAAACGGTCAACGTTTAATTTTATGACGGACTTTAATTAAATAAAATGAAAAAAATTCGTGATCCATGACATGCACGCTATTTTCTTAGGACTAATATGCTATTTTATTTAAAGTGGTGATCATTTCCTCAAGGAAATGCCTTGAATGCTTTTCCCCAGAAGAAATGCGGTATATTATGCGTTTGGGCGCGGACGTGATTATCATTCAGTTCTCAGAAACCGAAATGCACGTGGAACACTGAAAAAATGTTGCTCTGAAACAAGAAACTGAAGAGTGACAAGCACATATTTTTATATCAAGCAGGTATTTTTGTATGAATGCGAAAGGCGCTAAGTAAGTTAGCAGAGAATAAATAATATTTTCTTTAAAGGTTTTGTACCTAAACGCCACCGAATAAGAAATCGAATTCATTCAAAAGGATGTAAACATTGAAAAATTGTCTTATTTTAGTCAGACGCGTCTTGAGCAAAAATTAAGAAGGACCTGTTTGAAACCTTTTTAACTAACGGCAATCTAACACCTCTACTTTTTACAGCTTTCATTTCTCGTTATACTATTCGCTGCGAAAACGAAATATAAATAATATATTTCCACGTGTCCGCTCGTAAAATCACTGAAAGAAATTTGCATAAAAAGCGCGCGTTTTTCATTCATGCGGGTAAATCGCGGAAAAATCAAAGGCGGTATGACGTTTGATTGATGGGCGGGTGTACCCATGCGTGACGCGTCTCCGTAATTTTACTCTATCAGCGGGAAAGTACTTTTACTTGCTAGTGATTTTACTGAACATGTGGTTACCGAAAAAATCGTAATTTTATGTTAGAAATGCTTTAAAAAGCGCCGGGATTTAATCTACAGAGTTAAAATTCCCTAACTTTGGAATTTGTTCATTCTTTATTTACTTAAACTCAAGAAATCTTTACCCATGTAACACGCACGAAAATGGTAGAACTGCATATCATTATAAGCTTACACACACTTCAGGTGAATGGTTTATCCGTGGCTGAGCGCGACTTTGTTTCCTAAAAGACGAAAAGCAATCGAAATTCACGCAAAGGTGATCAACTTACCAACTCCAAAGTAGAATAGGCCGATTCCTATGCCAGCGGCAAACAGCATGGTGAAGTATGTCGCGTCTTTGAATTCAGGTTTTTCATCCGGTTTTCCCAGTTTCATCGTGCCGTATTTGGAAAAGTACAGGGCGATGATAAAAACAGCCCAGGCATCTTGGGTACCAATGTACATCCATGTGAAGGTCTGAGTGATCCATGATTTCCACTCGGCCATCTGCTTATTCGCGAATTCTGGCAGCAAAACACAGAAGACGACAAAACCCCAGATAACCAACGCCGAGAGCAGAGTCACGACTGGATTTAAGCGAATTTGGATCCCAAATTTCGAGCTTCCCACTTTGAACCAATTCCAGTTTATTCTTAACCATCGACATCTTTTCAAAGCGTCTTCTTGTTCACTATGCTCGCTACTAGAATCCATTTTTCGAGTTTCCATTGTATCGTGTTTTCCAAGCAACTACCGCCGTGCCAAGTTTTAGCGCGCTTTTATGCCCGTCGTTGCTATTAATATATTCAGAAGCAAATAGATATGACAGGTGGTGCATCGCGCGCGCGCACAGGTGACGCCCACGAGAGTCCTATAGGCCAACCAGCTTTTTGTTTGGTCTCCAAGCGATTTGTGTATAAGTCAGAATTTCTCAAAATAAACCACATCACAACTACTACCGTCTCTACCAATGCCTGCTAAGTTCAATTATTATGTAATTTTTAATTTCCCTTGAAAAATAAAAATAAACCATTAAATCCGAAATAGAACTATTTAACGGCCGTGTCATTTATATCCAAACGATAAAACGGTAATGGCGGAAATGAAGAGACCTGGCTGCTTTTTGCTGGCAAAGTTTGTTGCTGAATTGTTGTAAGTCTATTCTGGATGACACAGGTTTATTCTCCTTAATAATGGAAATTTGCGCGGCGAAACGCTCAAAGACTCTCAAACCGTGCACGTGGTTATCCTAGATTTGAGAACGGACTCCGGATAGAGCCACGACATGTCAAAAGTCACACATTTAAGGGCTGGGACCTGTTCTCTGCAGCTACAAATAATAAAAAAGAAATATCAGCTAAGAAAATAGATCCGGTTCATAACTCGTAATAAGAAAGTGATAGTAAAGAAAAACGTCGTTTCGGATACTCAAATTTCTGCTTGTCTGTCGTTCTGACGAAAGAGCCGACGCAAAATTCAAGTTCGGGGTGGGTTTTTAATCACTTCCCAATTGGTGTATACACGATTCTTTTTTTTAAAAAAATAAACCCCTTTATTTCTAATGGGGCGGGTTCAACTGTATTTATCAGCATCACGTCATCGTCATCATCACCATTATCATAATTATCATCATCGTTATTATTTTTATTATTATTAATAAAATTACTTATGCTATTATTATTGTCATCATCATCTTTATCGTCATTATTATTAAAATTATGATAGATTTTTGTTTAATGACGGATGTGAATAAATGTTTGAAGGCGTTATTTTCCGTATATCTGTAATGATTCCAAACGATTAACATAACATATCGCAGTGACAAAAATAGAATCACATCGATGAAACGACGGTGTCGTTATACACTTGGCACTCGAGCCTGGGACTCATTCTCATATTAGCGCGAGTGCCGGTTAATTGGTTACTGATAGTTTATCCTCTACCAATACCCGCTAGTGAGTCGGTTGCTACCTCACTTCACGGAAAAATGAATCATTTGAAAAATATCCTTTTAGCTCATCTATTCTGTGGTTTACTTGCTGGGCAAAAGGCTCCCTCCCACCCTCTCCTCCCTCTTCACCTGTTTCGAGCACGTATACGTGCGTACAGACAGGGTTTCTTGTGATGAGGCCAAAATTCATTTGACAAACATGACATAAAAATAAACGTGGCACATGCCGATTAAGTGACATCTTTGCTATTATTGTTCGTTAGGACGATTTTCAAAGTGTCTTAAAACAGAAAATATGCATTCACAGGCAGCCCAAGCTGAGAAACGCTCAATATATATTAAAAAAAAAACAACAAAACAAAACAAAAAACAAGACAATGCACACCACAGTGACTCCATTACACTCTCCAGGGAAAATTTCAGTTGAATATAATAGTTTTGTATAACAATATCATGTAGTTTAATGAGGTTGCTGAGTTTGGAATGCTTAATACCGTAATATACACATCACAAGATTTGAGATGCTGTGTGCATCACACAGCATCACAGGATTTGTAAGGTTTTAAGGTATCGGCTCCTGTAAAATAGCTAGTTTCACTGGATGTATTTCATATCTTACTGACTGGCTTTTCTTTCTGCATATTTCATTCAATCGTTGCACTCGTTCTAACGGCGCCTCGAATTCAATTTAAACGAACTATGGCCAATACTGACACAAAGATCATTTTGTTAATTTCGAGATCAAATGGTAATATTGATATTTAGCGTTATTCAATTCATTCACGCGCTTCAGATTCTTTCTTTCCCTGAGGGTCTGAAAACATAGCCAGTCGAAACTGATGAAATCATTCCCTCCTCCAAAAAATAAAAAGATAAAAAACCCGAAATTATTATAATAATGATAATTATTCGAGGCTTGGATGTCTCGAAAGCTTTTGGTGACTTTTTCAACTCATCCGAAACTGTTAGCTATCCTGCTGGGTCGAGTCGAATTAACGGTAGAGGCATGGAGTAGCCGTATTTTCATCAGAAAATTCTATAGGTGAAGTTTTTCGTAGCCTGAATTTCATCTGATTACTTCGAGTCGTTATTACTCCCTCAGTTGTTGAGAGGAGAAAACGACTCGAAGCAATCGGATGAATTTCAGGCTACGTTTTTCGTTAATTCCGAAATTCAGGGATTATTAGTTTTTAAACAATAATCGCACTGTATCTTGGTAATAAAATTTGAAAACCACAACCTTAGAAAATACAGTTCAGTAGGAAAGTTAGTAGAAAAGCTCCGAATATCTTTGATGAAGGGAACAGTTATTTTACAGAAATTTTCTCTTGAGAACTGAAAACTGAGTCGTCGAGTTGACTGCATTTCCGATCACCGCGTTGTCAGCTTCTAGCAAAACTCGGTGAAAAACGTACCGAAATCACAGTGCTTTTGCATTGTGTCGTTCTTTTATCACTCCACGGTAGAATGGGGTAGTTTTACTATTTAAATTAATTAATGAATTAACCAAACAGGCTTCACAAGCCATAGAGAAACTATTTGAGACACTTCTGATATATTAGAAAACATTCGCTCCTTGGCTGCCCCGGTAAAGCCAACTATACGGTTGGTTTAACAAATATAAGAGTTGGAGAGCCATCATGGCCTTCGGCAATATAAAACCCTTTTTATGGTTTAATCAACCACTGTAGAATGGTATACGGCAAGCATAAAATGACATTTTTAATTCTGTGGTTTAAGACTGTAACGTGACACAAGTTTGTTTGAACATAGCCTGTGTAGCATGGCGGTTTTGGTTTGAACACGAATTTTTCAGTCCATGTGTCACTTTCCGGCAATTCCAAAATCTTGTATATCTTTCTTGCTGCATGCATTATGATCGTTTTAAATTGAGCTTGTGAACAAACGCATCAGGAGCCTTGTTCACAGAATATTGATTTAACAACATTCTGAGAACTGCATTCATCTCAAAATTTACGAACTAAAATTCTAGCGAAACTCTGTGATTGAACTTTGAACATGGGCCCTATACAGAGAAAGGACTTTGAACCCGATGATTGTGAATGAGTATGGATATATTTGCATAGTAATAGATCGCCCTCTAAGCGCTGAAACAAATAGAAATGTAATGTATTATTTAACTCTCCTTCCCACGCGGAATGCTAATATTAAGTTAGCCATAACAACATTAAGGAAACGACTGGATTACATTTATAGAGACTTCATTTGCTAAGCAGCATTGATACTGCGATGATAGTATTCAGTGCGGACACAGTAAAATCACTGGCAGGTGTCTTAACTGGTATCAAGTTGACTTGGAGCTTGAGTCAGCTGTTGAGTTCGTAACTCTTTTAGCTTAGCTACAATAGCTTACAATGTCAATTGTGCAACCTGATTAAGCATGTTTCCCTCGGGGAGAGGAGGTGACCCATATAAGGCTTTCTTTTACCCTGTTTGTTTTCGCTTTTTTCTCTTTAATTATAATACATTTTTTTAACAGATATTTCTTTTGGTAGAATTCCAAACAAGAGAGGGTGAAATGAAACTCAAATAGCGGTGATAAACAGTATCAACTTATGCATTTTTATACTAACGCAACGTTTCGTATGCTACAATCCTGGACAAAATACACTCGGTACTGTACAGTGGCTCATCCAGGGGAGAGGCCCGGGCCCCTTATTGTCAGAGCAAACTTAGAGGGTCACAATGGGGTTAACTGATAGGCGTAAAATGGCCTAAAATTTAGTCGATAGCCGTAAAAATTGAAAAAATTTAACCGTTAGTCGTAAATAGGGTAAAAAGAGTTAACCGCAAAAGAAATTGTAAAAGGTGCTAAACTCACTTATGGTTACGTTTTTATGTCCCGGCTACTTTGACTCCTAGACCTAAACTCTATTTTCGCCTCTCTCTCGGAGAACTAATTTTTTCCATAGCGAAAATCTGGCTTTTTGCTGGGGATTAATATTTGCGACTTTCAGGAGTCGAGCCCTCGAAATGCTAGTGAAACAACACGCAGAGATATGTCACTGTTTGTAGAACAGGTTGCCGATAAACAGCAATTCCCTGTTTTTCTCTGACGCTACGGTAGACATTGCCATGCGTAGTTCCTGTAAGGCGTCTTCCCACGCAATCTCCTTCAAGGCATTTCGGTGGCGTATCTGAGAAAAAAATCTCGCTCTGACCACGTGACCCGAAACGCATTAGCCGCGCGGAATAAAATAATAAGGTGATTATCTATCAAATGTTAAAATTTCTCAAAAAAAAATAGCATTTTATTTAACTCCTTGAAACAAAAGAAATTAATCTTTAACTTTTTTGTTAACCGTAACTGAAAAATATTAACCGATAGCCGTAAAAGAGCCAAAATTTTAGCCGATAACCGTAAAAGCCACCACCCCTTCAAGACCCTCAACTTAGGCCCGAAGGACGCGCCAAAACAATTTATTTGAGACCGCCCCCACCCCTATCTCAGGGTCTGGATGACTGGGCCCCTCCTTTATCTGTAGATGGAAAATTTAGACCCCTTCTCGCCCCCAAATCGCGAGGATGAGAAAATGGCGCGTTTTGGCTTTCGCTCGGCTTATATATCCTTGATTTCGGGGGTGGGGGAGGGTGGGGCTTGCTGTTCTATTTTATTCTGTCCAGATTGTAGTCAACATTCGCCGTTACAAATAGACGAATTTCGATATATATTAAACCGCAAAATTGGCGCCGAGGCTTGAGGTGAGTAACACATTTCCTTTGTTTTATTCCACCAAGCCTCGGAGCGAAGTATGGTTAATATATCGAAGTTGGCCGATAGTGTACAAAAAAAGGACCTTTATATTCTCTTGATAAAAATGATACC